ACTAAAGACAATACTGTTCCATTCCTGATCCCAGAGTGACCGTTGTCTGCACCACTCAAGGCGATTACGTCGGTGTAAGGGTTAGAAGGCGACCTGGTGAAAGGAGGAATCAACAGTTATTTGTTGAAAGACATGCTCATCACACTGTTGGAGTTATGGTTTGGGGTACTATAGCTTATGGTTCCAGGTCACCTTTAATCTTCATCAGAGATAACATGAACGCGCAGCGTTATATCCACGAAGTTCTAGAACCCCATCTTTTACCCTATCTTGATACCCTGGTAGATCCAACTTTCCAACAAGATAATGCCCGACCACATGTTGCAAGAGTCACAATAGACTTCTTTCAACATAATGATGTCACATTGTTACCATGGCCACCAAGATCTCCCGACTTATAACCAATTGAGCACGTGTGGGATATGATGGGTAGGAGATTGCTCAATTTGCAACGTCCTCCTCAGACTCTAGAAGCACTTCGAGAGGAGTTAGTGGTTGCCTGGAAGAGATACCACAGTACTTATACAAAATTTTATTAAAATAAAACCATTTAAACTGGGTGTTCGGATTTATATGTCACTTAGTATATTCTGCTGGGTTGAGGCTGGGAGGTCCCGTCACCGTTATATACAGCATTACTCTGCCTCGCCACTGTTCATGTATATGTGTATATAATTGTATAAACCTCTATTGTCCTTATCAGGCAAAAACTTATTTTTAAGTGTAACACTCTCGATGATAGTACATTACATGAATTGGTGGAGAAGTATGCCATTACTGACTGAATACTTTGATATATCTTGAAGCGCATAACGGTGAAGGATATAGAGTGCGAGGACAACAACGGCTATGTATCATTTTTCACTATTACCTAAGACACATTTATACATTAACTCGATTTAAATACATCATGTCTGATGATTGAAGTCCAGCATCACTCAGATAAAGGTGACTGAATGTCTGCATCTCAGAATAGTACAGAGAGGTACACTGCCGCTAGATGATAGCTTACGATGAAAATCGAACCGCTAAGTACATCGATATATAAGTGATTTCCCATTTATTTGAAAATATTCCAATTTATCAAGCAGCTTGGTTCTTTTCAGCTGTCAAAATAAAGTTGACAACAACAATTTCATATCATAAATTTGCATTGACCTGTAGTAAACAAAAATTGTATTGAAAATATTCAAAATGCAGAAAGGATTGAATTGCAGAGATAATTCTGTGCCCTGCAAGAGATCTCTAGATGAATGCACACACTCATTATTCACCTGGGGATTTTTTTAAGATCAGTGTTTACCTAGGGAGATAGATGTAACTTCTTCTCAGACTAATTCGGTAAACAATTTCGATTTCTAAAGTTAGCGATGAAAAAAATCCGTTGGGACATCACATCAATTCTTTTCCCGTTTTAACACGGCCTTTCCTCATCGAACTTAATCGTTTTAAAACTCGTTATAGTGCAATGTTACTACGGAATGTCTGAGTAGTGAATATTGAGGATGTATCTTGCATAGTGTTGTAGGCACATCCACCATTTTCAAAAAGGACATCCAAAGCTTTGTCTCCTGAAAACGGTACAAGAACCTGTAGATCCTTCTGAAGTGTATTTCCTTCGGCGTGCCTGAATCCACAGTGCTCTAGCATTATTTGTTCAAAAGGTGGCATCGGATACTGATCATGTACAAATATAATAGGAAATACAACGGCACGCGTTATAAACGCTTTCCGATATAATTATGCTAGATAAGATCTGCCAAAATAGCATAAACGTTAATGTGATATATTTCACACGCATATAAGACTACGCTACCTAAACCAATATCTCCCTAATATCATTATCATTGTTCCTCCAGTTCCCATTCCCCCGCTATTTAATTTTACACCCCTCTTGCTTCCCATCGCTTCTCCTGTCACCAAAAGCCTGCACTCTGAGGATTTCCCGATGGATACAATCCGCAGGTTTGTGCTCATTCGTTTTTATCGTACTGACGTTTCCGTTAAACCGTTTTTTCCGCGTTTTTCACGTGGCCCTCCAGAGAGTCGCCTCTCCCGCAGTAGATTGTGAATTTCAGCGAAAATAGAGCAAGTTGCGCTGTCATGGTTCACGCATTACGGGATGCGGACCTGCATTGTTGTAAACATACCGTACATCAGTTAAAAAAGCTTTTATGGTAATGGAAATGGGATAGATAGACGGGTTAGAAGAGATGCACCTAAATTACACAAGCCTCCGGTAGTTTTCCCTACGGTTGTTCCCTTAAAATATTAATAAAATATTAATAATACTCGTATAATAATATATATTAATATATATGAAAGATCAGGTGTATTTTGCACTACTACTTGCATATGGATAAATATCAAACTATACTTAATACTACAAACTTTACACTTAAGGGATGAGCCAAAAAGTTAATAAGGTGATAAACGAGAGTGAGTGATCACTTGATAAAAAATTGAAGTTCGATATATGTAATTTTACACCGATCTACCTCCTTAGTCCCTTCTTGAAGGTGATTGAGAAATACTCTCTGGAACTCATCAGGCTCTTTGACATATCCAAATTATATGATAACAGTCAATTTGGATTTAGGAAAGGCATGTCTAGCAAAAATTCGTTTTCTAGATGATCTCTATTTGGATTAAATGAATAGAGGTGAAAAATGTAAGTAATATTTCTTGATTTGAGTAAAGTGTTTGACTTATTTTTATTAATTCTCAAACACTGTATTAGAAATTTATATAATCTAAAATGAATATTTATTAAAAACATTTGAAATAAGCTATATAGGCCTATAGCTATTAGTGCTCATTTTAATTCAAGTCTTATGTATAGGTACCACGTCAGCTGATTTTAGCGCAGTTGACCATATACCTTTAATTATACTTATATTGAAAATATTAGGTAGAATTGGACTATTTTATATTTTAATATATTAGAATGAATGTGATCAATGCCACCCTTTCTGCACTTAAGAGTTGCTATGACTTTTTCCATTTGAGAAGAACTTACAGATGTAAGAAAAATAGATTGATGATTTCTTCTTAAAGAGTTGTATGATTACTAATTACTACAGGTATATTAGTTGGTCCATTAGTATTTTGCAGTTCGTGAGCAAGATTAATGTAAAAATTATATTATTGATAATATTAGCAACTTTTCTTTTATCAGTGACAGTATTATTTTCATGCAACATTTTTTATATTTTATTATAATTTATATTTCTTATTATTATTTCCAATTTCATTACTGATATAGGTATGTCCAAAGTTAACGGAGGTCATTACAACTTCTTTTAGCTGAATTAACTTCATTATTATTTTTTGCTTATTTTATTAAGAGTTGAAGGTGTTTATTGTAATTCATATATTTATTTTTACACTGCACACAGCTTCTAATCAATTTCCATTCCATCCACGTATTTCTTAACTTAATAGTTTTGTTTGCTTAACTGTAGTAGTAGCTTTATTAGCAACCAACTGCATATCATTAATTGTTATATCAATAGTAACATCAGGATCACTGATTAGATTACGTTTATTTTTATCTTTAGACTCAAAATATTCATTTAGTTTTCTATAATTTATTTTAGTACATTCTTGTTTACTAGTAGACTTATTTGACGAAGTATTAAAAACGGGTAATGGTCAGGCAAAACATGATTATGTTCAGAAGACTGAAAATCAAAACAAACTTTAGCATACATATCATTAATGCACGAACCACCAGATGCACATAGTCTTGTAATTGTTTTAAACATAGCTAGATATCCCACAGACAAGGTATCATTAAATAGTTCCTCCGTCTCAGGCTCAGGACTAAATATGTTAATTTTGAAATCTCCTGCATTAATGTGCCTGTGGCATTGATTTAGAAGCCAAAGCATGATGCTCAGAAGCGAATTTAGCGAACCAATTTATTACTTTAAACTCATCTAAAGCCATGACCTCAACTTCATGCTGAAGCTCCGTACTAATATACGAGCGTAACAACTTTGTCAGCGGCATTTATCATACCTTTGATTACTTAAATTACCAGTCGCCGAAGGCTGTACACTGAGGCAGCTGATATACGATTCAAGAGTGGCTAAATTAGCGTTTATCATTCTTATATAAAATTTAAAACTAAGGTTTTAAAGTCTTTAAGTTTACTACTTAAATCATCAAAATTATCGAATTCAGATTCAGAAATTTGTTCAAGGAAATCAAAATCATTACGACCCCTTATAGAAAAAATGAAAAATAAGTATATAAAAGTAAAATTAATTGAAATTAAGTTTCAGTTATGACATATTCGCAGTTTATATTTACACCATGTATACGAGCACAAATATACTTAGAACAGCTCAGCTAGTCTCCTTGGGTAGTTCGTGTTATTTATCTACGTCTCCCACCTTGCTTTGTAAGTCTCGCACTTAGACTTGTCAGTAGCAGTATGCGCAATATCCCTCCTTTTAGTAAGATGTTTATTCACAATAATACAATTAAAACATTTGTATGTGTTTGTATCACAGGTAGAAGCTTCATGTTGATTGGCACACTTACTGCACGTTTTTGCTGATTTTAATATGTTTATACACTTTTTGACATTATGACAATATTCACAGCAGTTCAAGCAATTCCTATCATTGTAATAATCAAAGACTTGAATTTCATGATTTTCTCATAGGTACTCGATGTTACTTTAGCTCTTATACGAGTACCTTTTATACCATTTTTTTGTTTATAATCGAATACTATTTTAAAACCATCAGCTTCAAGTTCATTCCTAGCAATAATATCCAATTCCAATATATTATTATCAACATCAGGCATAATATTGATAATTTTCAATTGTGGATTATCTTGTTTAACGTGTTACTATTGTTTTTATTTATAGCTTTAGCTTTTGTTTGATTAGATATTTCATGTTAGGCAATATCAATTAAATCAGTTGCCTTTATTTTTATCACTAGATTGAATTGTTAGTGAAACAGGTCTTTGGATTAATTTACCTGAAGTGATATCAGGGTAGGAAAGCGTAGGCTCAGTACATGTTCCATCTGGGACCATTCTTCGTAAGAAAAAGTTAATTTCTCTTAATTCATTACTGTAGGTATTAAGCTCTTTGTTATGTTGTTTCCGTATGCTAATTTCATTACAGCCTTCATCATAAGCAACACACTCTTTATTAGCATCTGAATCAGCAACAGACCCAGCAGTATGCAGAATGCACCGATGCATTATCAGATGCAGTATCATTATCAACGTTAGCATCTTGTACATTAACGCCTTCCCCAATTTTAATTTTCACGCTTAACCGACAACTTCCTATTCAGTACGGTGTGTAGGATATAAGGAGTATTCTTGTCAATGTTCGCAGCATGGGCACTATAGGTTACGTTGTCACCATGTGATGAACAGATAATTATTTTATTATAAATATAGAATCTCGACCCGATCTCGGCGCAATTGTAATATTATTACTTTTGAGGCTCAGTAGCTCGGTGGTTAGCGCATTGAGCTAGCAACCCGGGGCTCGCTGGTTCGAATCTTCAACTCGGAAGTTAATTCCTTGCCTTAAATGTTTTTTTTTCCTTTATATTTCAAAAATATGCAAAACTACACAAGTATGAATGACTAGAATAAGATAGTGAGATTTACTATCTGAATAGTATTTCACAATACTCATCTTCGGTTTTGAGGGTTATGATATTTTGCGTCCTTTTTTATATCGAATCAGCGGCGCAGACAGTAGCCTAAATGCCGGGACACCGCGGCTGATATGATGATCCCAAAGAAATGTTGTTAATCCGATTTTTCAACTGTCTAAGGTTAGTAGAACTGGGAAAAGCTTCCGCTTGTAGATTATTCCACAATCTCGACAATCTCGGGACAAAGGAGCGGTCGTATCGGCCAGTTCTGGATGTTCGAAGTACGACATGATTAGGATGGAAGGCCAAAATCAGGCACATCGCACAGCGGCATCATAGAAGCTCTGCGGAGCAAAGCCCGTTGGTGTAGAGGTAGAAGAGCCTAGATCGCCGAGGACCCGTCGGTGCGAAAGGGTCCCGAGACTGTCTGTTAGAGAAGAGTCCTCGATCAGTCGGACAGCTCTCCTCTGGACAGCATCGAGCATAAGTAATGTAGTCGGGGCGGCAGCACCCCAAATGTGTGAGCAATACTCAAAGCTAGGCCTTATCTGGGCCTTGTATAGAGTGAGAAGATCATGTGGAGAAAGAACCTCTTATCCCTAAATAAATAGCCTAGCTTTTTCCAAGCAGCTCCGCTATTGAAGAGATGTGCTCGTGCTAGATCAGGTTCTCGGGAATCTAGACTCCGACCAGCCGAAATGAATGGCTTTTTGGCAGAACTCGGCCATCCATCCAAACCGGATAAGCGCTAGGACGCTTTTTATTCGTCAAGGTACAGTACTATGTTTTGGAATCATTAAACTACAAGATTGTTACGTCCCCAAGCAGTGGTAACCTCCAGGTCTCTCGTCAGAGAGGAAGTCGTCGCTAGTCTTATTTTTTCCAGCTCAGCGGCAGAGGTCGGCTTGTCACTTTAATTGTTACATGTAGAGTGCTGTCATCAGCGAAGCTGTGGATTGGGGTTATCGTACAGGAAAGGAGGTCGTTGATATGTAAGAGGGACAGTGTCGGAGCCAAGACCGATCCCTGAGGAACACCCGCGTGGACGTTGTGGGATGAAGAGGATGAAGAGGAGAACCCGTCAATTACGAAGGATATCTTGCGGATAGAAATAAAGTCAGCCACCTATCTGCAAAACCTTTCTACGAGGGCAGCGTGCCACAGCCACAGCCACGCTTTCGTGATGTCAATAATGTCAGTAAAATAAGAATGCAAATATAGAGGCAAAAACAACTAAAACAAATAACAGCCGTTGGCGGAATTACCTGACAAGCTTTGAAACAATGTCACAACACAGAAAACTGTTAACAACATACGTGTACTCAGGAAATTCAAACTATAGTACCAATTTAGGATCTATTTTGCATTAAGGTTGGCATTCAAATTTGCTAAATATGAAGTAACTGCTTTGTTTCAGTGAATAAACTATACCTATCTATGGTGATTTGTCTGCAATTAGAAGTAACTGTTCTGGATAAATAAATATGAAAATTTTGCTTACAATTGATCTCGTGGCATTCATTCACAAAAAATACGTTTTTTTTAATATGCCAGTAGCACTAAACAAACAATATTGGAGAATACACAAATATTTCACAGGCAATTCCACAAATCAATAATAAACTAGCGCGAACTGTCGTGTTCGTCCGACACAATAATTAAAACATACATTATAAAGAAAAAACAGTATTTAATATTTATACTGCCGTGTAAACTTTTTTCGGGCGGGATTTATATACAAAAACCATAAAAAAAGAAGTGCGTAAAAATAATTTCACGTTAACCGATACAGTTTTTTAACTTGTTAGGAGATAATTCATTTATATAGGTTCCATCTCCGACTCGTTTCGGGTCAAGTTATCAAGCTGAAATTTGGGGTCATACAGGTAATCAAGCATACGTAATGTGACGCATTTTATGAGTGCTGTAGAACCCTAGGATATAAAACCACTAACTTGCCAATGGCAGGATGTCAGAGTTGAGGGTCTTTGTTCGTTTAATCACTTTTAACTCAACAACCAATCGAGAAAAAGCTCGGGGAACGATCTATCCGCATATGTAATAAAATAGGGAACACCCCAATTAAAAAAATTGCCTAAATGTCATATTTTAAAAATTTTCTATGATTGGTGTATTGAGATATAAGCTATTCAATGGTCAAAAAAGCTCAACTTCAACAGACCACTAGTCCGCCATTTTGAAAGATAGTTCGTTTTTGTTTTAGGGATATAAAGTATCTACACTGTCTTCTTATATGCAGCCTTAAACTACCGTTCTATTCTATTTAAAGGATTTTTCCGAATTCTAATTGATATTTTTACTTTAGGATATATTATTCATGCATCAGTTGCATCACCCCAGTTTAAGTAAGTAGATGGACCTCTTTGAGAAGATTCTAGTAAAAAAACTAATAGAAGGTCAGCTACTACGGCGAGTTATCAATATTCAGAGCAAATCAGAAGCCTATCGCGTCTGTCTAACATGCTTAGAACGAGGCAACAGAGAGTACCTTCGAGTGCAAGCCATGAGAATACTTGAGGTTATCTGATAGATGTTACTAACGCTATTAATGAACTTAATATAAAGTGCATTTAAACCGTATTAATATATAATGAGAATAGATGAGATCTGGACTCAAAAGGATATCTCTTTATTTAACAGAAAACCCATCAACTGATGAAAAACTATGTTTTGTATGTTAACTCCGAAAATAATATAACTGCCGTCATTTTTTGCATGACAGAAAGATTATAGGTTAATTATTAGTGACATTTTTGGTTGGGTACGTTGAACGACACACGTCGTGTGATCCAGACAAATAAAAAGCCTGGAACTTGTCATCCCTTTTCTCGTTAGATTCATTTACATCGAAATGAAAACACAAATAACCCTTTTTATGAGATGATGCCGCTTTGTCATGTAAATATGATGGGCACCGAAACATTAATATGCTTGAAGTTTTATTAGGTTTATCTTGAAATTCCTTTTTTCTAGCAAACTGTCTGGCATCAGGGATACTAGCTTGGACATTGCCAATGACGATTATAACCTCTGCGTGAAAATCCAATCCTAACGGAGAAGTGTCATCCTTTACCAGCCTCAAGATTTAACGTCGCTGTTTTACATTTTAATATGGCTGGATGCCTTTCTTGTCATCTGTTCATCTAGTTCCTAATGCTACTACTTAAAAATGACTGACGCTTGTTTTATTTCGCACTCGTACTGGCGGAGAAGTGTTGAAATCCTCGATAATGAGGTATTATGTTTTTTGGAAGATATATGACAAGTACATCATGAAAAACTACCGGTGACGGCAGAGAAAAAGAGAAGAACGAAATTAAGTTAAAATTGCTCAAACTTCTTCTTCCGGCATTTCAGGAGATCCCAATCGATTTTGAAAAAATTCTTGGAGGTAAAAAAAATGGGGTGGTGTCTGGAGGGGTATACTCCTATATCTTAATTTTTCTAAATTAATACATTTATTCGCTCCCAACCTTGGTAATTCTACGCGTCTATATTTCACACATAATAGAGTTCCCCGTACATCAGCTCTCAACACTAAAAAACATTCTCAACGAACGGATCGAGTACCTAATTCCCGCGACTGCTTCTGCTCCCAGCGCCGTGCCAGCCCTGGTAACTGTTCTGATACCACTGACACGGCATATCATAGTGTTTCCTATGCTGTGGCCGCGGTGTTACCTCTCAACGGATTATGTATTGGGGAGAGGCGACGTTGCCAGATGGACTTCTGGTAAGGCAGGTACTGTTTTTTTCCCTTAGGGGGTGACATTTGTGCTAAACAATCCTTCATGAACCGATAACAACGTTACGTGGGACGTGCAGAGTCAACCTACTTGTCGCCATTTTTATAATTGGAACGCATGTCTTAGGGATGGAATATAAGGCAAAAATCAGCAGGCTATTGGAAACACAATTTACGTCCCACACCAATTGGCGCAAGGTACTGTTTCCGCAAAAAATTCAAAAACATGATTTATTATGATTTTTTGATGTTACATCATGATTAATGTCACTCGTTTCCGTCAATCTGTCCGTCTGTCGGTGTTTCGCTCTTTCTGTTTATCCGCTAATCCTCAGGTCGTCTATAACTTAGAAAGTACCGGTCGGGTTTTGTTGAAATTGTTTCAAGGTTTCAACTCTACCAAGGTCGAAAAATCTGTATAGTCTTTCAAAATCGATTCCGTGCTGTTACGGGTTTAATTTGAAAACCTTGTAGGAACGGCCGTGACCCTGCAATAATCGTAAATACTAAACAAGGGTAGACATATTTCTAGTTTAACTACCTGAAGATTTTCTCTATGGTTTATACGTAACTCTCCACCTATTATCTCATTTTGTAGTTGAGGCCCCTTCATCGGAGAATTGTTTACGTTTCTTTCCTAACCTCAATGTTACATTTTGACAAGTGTTCGGTCCTTTCAGTCCGGGAACAGTCCGCTGTTGTTCCATTGCTCCATTGCTCCTCTCGAACTTTGTGTTCAGTGTCCAAGTTGAAGAGACTTCACTTTTTGGTCGTAGCTCTGTTGAGAAGCACGCATTTTGCGGATCTTTACGCCAAATGAAGTCTAAGCGTTCTTCCTTTTTAAGTCTCATATAATC